ACGTCACCTTTGACGAGTCGGTGCCTTACTACCGTCTCTTCCCCTATCGCACTGCGCCCCTCCCCCCGCCGCCGCTCTTCCTTGCGCCAGGTCCTCCCCCGGTAGACCCCCTCCCCCCTCAGGGTCCTGCCCCATCAGGTGTGTCCCAGGTAGACGAAGTCGAGCCTGTCGAGGTAGCTGTTGACTCTGGTGCTGCTAGAGGTACTGAGCCTGCGGGTGCCGGGTCTGGAGGTGCTGAGTCTGGGGGTGCTGAGACTGGGGGTGCTGAGTCTGGGGGTGCTGGGCCTGGGGGTGCTGGGTCTGGAGGTGCTGAGCCTGGGGGTGCGGAGCCTGGGGGTGCGGAGCCTGGGGGTGCGGAGCCTGGGGGTGCGGAGCCTGGGGGTGCGGAGCCTGGGGGCGCTGGGTCTGCTCGTGTGGCCGCCGGCGGTGCTTCGTCGAGGCGGGAGCCACTCTCTCCACAGGAGCTGCGCGAGTGGTTTGCCCGCCGCTGGAGCCGTGCTGCTGGAGCTGGAGGTACTACTGTTGCTGCTGGTCCCGGAGGTGCTCGTACTGGCGGTACTGGAGCTGCTGGGACTGGGGGTGCTGCTGGGGCTGCTGGAGTTGGTCTTGCTGGAGCTGCTGGCGGTGCTGGAGCTGCTGGAGCTGGAGCTGCTGGGGGTGTTGGCGCTGGTGTTTCTGCTGGCGCTGGTGCGTCTGGGGCTGCTGGAGTTGGCGCTGTTGGAGCTGGGGGTGCTGCTGGCGCTGGTGCTGCCGCTGGGGGTACTGGTGCTGTCCTTGCTGGTTCTGGAGGCGCTGCGCGGCCGAGGCCGTACTTCGTTCCGCTCCTTGAGCAGGTTCTTCGTCTCCCGCCCTCTGCTGGTCCTGCTCCTCCCTTAGAGTGTCCGCAGCCTGTCCAGTCGCAGTCACAGTTACAGCCCGCCTCCCCCCTACCTGCTCCTTCTCCCTACACTGGTCCTACTGGAGGTCTTGCTGAGCGTCGTGAGCCTGCGTCTCGTCCTGCGTCGCCTGTTCGTGCTGCTCGCACTAGTGGTCGTACTTCGCGTCCACGTCCTCCTACGGTCCCAGGCACACACCAGATGGCACTGCGTCCTTCCAATGCTCCTCTGCGTGTCCCGTTGCCGTCTCCTCCAGAGTCCTCTCTTCCTCTTCTTGCTGACCCTGAGTCTGACTCTCTTTGTGCTGCCAGTCCTACTGTCACGCGTCTCCTGGCCACTGTTGTCACTGACCCTTCCTTTGAGTCCACTGCTGCGTCTGCCCTAGTTGCTGAGCTTGTCGACTTCGCTGCTCGCTGTCGTCTAGACTACGCTGCTGGTCTAGTTGCTGAGTCTGAGTCTGTCTGTCCTCCGTCCGTCGGGGGTGAGTGTGCTCTTAGCACGGACGTCCTTGAGGACAGGCAGGAGGAGTTCCAGTGCTTTGCTGCTGCTTTGCCCCATCTCGTGTCCACGCTGATTGCCCCTGAGGGAGACCCGGATGCACCAGACATCCCGACTCCTCGATCGTACGCTGAGGCGATCGAGGGTCCCTACTCCTCTCAGTGGCAGTCGGCCATGGACGCAGAGATGGCTTCCTGGAAGTCCACAGGCACCTACGTCGACGAGGTTCCCCCACCTGGGGCGAACATCGTCAGTGGCATGTGGATTTTCAGGGTGAAGCGGCCGCCGGGTTCTCCGCCTGTCTTCAAGGCGCGTTACGTGGCTCGAGGCTTCAGTCAGCGGCAGGGAGTTGACTACTTTCAGACCTTCTCTCCCACCCCGAAGATGACCACTCTTCGGGTGCTGCTGCACATAGCCGCTCAGCGCGACTACGAGCTTCACTCTCTTGACTTCAGCACGGCTTTCCTGCAGGGCAGCCTTCACGAGGAGATCTGGCTGTGCCGCCCACCTGGCTTCACTGGGTCGTTTCCTTCTGGTACCCAATGGAGCCTCCGGCGGCCAGTCTACGGTCTCCGCCAGGCGCCCCGTGAATGGCACGACACACTGAGGACTACACTTGCGGCTCTTGGGTTTGCTCCTTCTACTGCTGACCCGTCGCTGTTTCTGCGCACTAACACCTCTTTGCCGCCGTTCTACATCCTCGTGTACGTCGACGACTTGGTCTTTGCCACTGCTGACACTGCTGGACTAGCCCACGTGAAGTCCGAGCTGCAGAAGAGACACACGTGCACAGACCTGGGTGAACTGCGCAGCTACCTTGGCTTGCAGATCACCCGGGACAGAGCACAGCGCACCATTACCCTGAATCAGTCACACATGGTGCAGCAGGTCCTTCAGCGCTTCGACTTCACGTACTCCTCGCCTCAGGCCACTCCTCTGTCTACTCGCCACTCGCTCTCAGCTCTGCCTTCGGATGAGTCCGTAGAGCCGAGTGGCCCGTACCCAGAGCTTGTTGGCTGCCTCATGTACCTGATGACCTGCACACGACCTGACCTTGCATACCCTCTTAGCATCTTGGCACGCTATGTTGCTCCTGGCAGACACAGGCCAGAGCACATGGCTGCAGCGAAGAGGGTGTTGCGCTACTTCTGCAGTACGTCGGGCATGGGGCTAGTGTTTGGAGGGCGACGTCGAGTGGTCCTCACAGGTCACGCTGACGCTTCTTGGGCTGACGACCAGGCTCTGCAGCGGTCGTCACAGGGTTACACCTTCAGCCTTGGCTCCGGCTCTGTTTCGTGGCGGTCTACCCGCTCGTCTTCTGTTCTCAGCTCCAGCTGTGAGGCTGAGATCTACGCAGGGGCCATGGCTGCACAGGAGCTACGCTGGCTCACCTACCTGCTGACTGACCTAGGAGAGTCGCCTCGTTCTCCTCCAGTTCTGTACGTAGACAACAAGGCCATGCTGGCCTTGTGTCGGGAGCACAGACTGGAGCACGGAGCGAAGCACATTGCTCTTCGCTACTTCCTTGCTCGTGAGCTGCAGCAGCGTGGTCAGCTGCGCCTTGCTTACGTGGCCTCTGAGGCCAACACTGCTGATATCTTTACCAAGGCACTTCCGCCTTGTGATCATCAGCGCTTCTGTACGATGTTAGGTCTTGTGCCTACTTGGCCTCACTTGCTCACTTCTTGACCTTGCTTGTACTGTGATCTTTCTATACCTGCACTTGCTTGTTTGCCTTTATCTATGATCTTGCATGTGAACTGGCCTTTTGGCCTTGCTCTTGTGCTCGGATTGTGTGGTGACATTGTGATCCACCTTGAGCTTGCTTCGCTTTGCTTGACTGGTCTTGTGACCTCTTGTTCTCCCCCACTTTGCCTATGGGGGTGTGTCAAACTCATATTATATAGCTTGTGTAGGCTATAGTGGGGTAGGCACTATGGGGTACAGTCTCCTAGGGTTTCCTACTTGTACCCAACTTTGTGCTAGTTCATTCCATTCCTCAATTCTCACACGCAGCAGTTCGCGAAGGACTCTATCTCACAGAGCTTCTGCAGGAAACGAAGACGGCGATGAACAGATCCTTTAAGTTACTCTGCGACAACCAGAGCGCGATCAAAATCGCAAACAAGCCAGGCTTCGTCAACCGCACAAAACACATCGCCCTGCGTTACTTCTTCGTGAAGGACGAAATCGACAAAGGGAAAGTCCAGCTCATCTACTGTCCAACTGGCGAAATGGCAGCTGACTTCCTCACGAAGAAACTGCCACGTCAGAAGTTTCAGTACTGCTCGGACCTGTGCGGAGTGACTCGCAAAAGCCACGTGGCGCACCTCCAGGAATGAAGAGGAGTGTTGGAGTGTGAAGGGAATTATACCTAGTATTCCCGTAGGTGCAGCAGTATCGCACCTGACTTTGTCGAACCAGCAACAACTGCAGTATCGGATCAGCCCGTATCAAGGGCAGGAAGGTCAACAGTCGCAAGAGTCAACTATCGCGACTGTTGACCATCTGGACCGACGCTTGACTTACCATCGAGGAATGGCAACAGGCGTAACCGCACAGGTTACATGCAGCGACTCGGTAACAAGAAAGTAGTACAACAGTCAGAGTCACTGTAGAAATGCCTGTAAAACAGTTATAATAAGAGAATGTACCCCTCAGAGTACATAGCTAGACTAGGACTATTTATATTCCTTGTATTCTATTGTTTAATCAACTTGGTCATTTACATTCACTATGATCTGAGTTCTTACAAGACTTCCGCTACCAACTCTACTAAAGCACCTCCTATCCTATCCAAGGTCCTCACTCTAACACCCCCCACGGTTCACGCCGCGACCCAACCTCACAGCTCGGTTGGTAACCCGCGCTACGGACCTCCGCCTCGACAATTCCCAACCTCGGCGCCAGGCCCGTCGCGCACCCCACGCATTACCGTTACCACTGTAGCTTCTCTATATATTCTTCGCTCATGCCTTCTCATTGTACTGTTTTGCTTCGATAGTGCAATTCTAGCTCGCTCGCTCAATTGCACTCGTAACAGGTTTCATGTAGTTTCATAAGTGACGAGGTAATTGATGCACTCTAAGATTCTTTTACTTGCTCGTCGCAATTGACGGCCTGGTTCTTTGAGTTGGTTCGCTGCATAATTGCGGGAGGTTTGCTGCTCCCTCCGGCAATATCGGAGGTCAATCCATGATCGGCATCCTGAGAGAGAAGGGTGTCTCGGGGCCCCCTGAAATCTCAGGCGCTGCGAAAGGAACCAGCGAAGTAGCATTTTTCTGGCTAATCTGCTCTGTACGACTTACTGTAGCGTTACCACCTGTTTTGGGTCACACTCTGACTGAGCAGTCGGATTTCGCCAGATGATCAAAGCCAGACGAGACCCCGCCGTGAATTACGCCATTCAGGCGATTGGAATTATGGGCGACCCTAGCACCGCCTCACACGCAGAAGAGTCTCTCCTTTATTCATTACACTGTGACGGCAGATCTCGAGCCGCCTCAAATCACGCTCGAGCGATGTTTATATTCGCTCGCATTTCCACTCTTTTCCACCAATTCCACCAGTCTCATCCAACGAGTTCACCTCTCGATCTGATACTAGCCCAAGTCAGATCTGTAAGCCATGACGGTGCTTCGCGCTTTCCTGCTGCTGCTCTGTGCGCTCGCCGCCGCGCACGTGGCGGCCGCGGCGGAGTTCAACCCCGCTCTCGCCACTCTCGCCGCAAGGCCCGACGAGACTCTGCTCGCCACGGGCAAGGCGCTCGCAGAAGACGCAAGCGAGGACGCGGATGTGATAATAACGAACCGCGCTCTTGCGGAGGAGGGCGAGCAGTCGGCCCATGATGGCGCTGTTCGCGTCCTGGCGGAGGACGACCTTCTCTCCCTGCTGGCGCAGGGCTCTGTGTATGCTGACGTGGCGGACATGCGCAGGAGCCTGAAGAAGGGGAAGAAGTGCAAGGGGAAGAAATGCAGGAAGGGGAAGAAGGGGAAGAAGGGGAAGAACGGGAAGAAGGGGAAGAAGGGGAAGAAGGGGAAGAAGGGGAAGAAGGGCAAGAAGAAAGAAGGCGCGGCAGCAGCACCTGGTGGGGCAGCACCTGGTGGTGAGGCCCCCGCCGCCGCTGGCGCTGATTCAGCTGCACCCGGTGGGGGCGAGGAGGCGGGCCCTGAGGGCGTGCCTGCTCGCAGCATGATGACGGAGGACGACCTGTTCTCCCAGCTGGAGGGGGGGGATGCTGACGTGGCGGACACGCGCAGGAGCCTGAAGAAGAAGGGAAAGAAGTGCAAGGGGAAGAAATGCAGGAAGTACAAGAAGGGCAAGAAGGGGAAGAAGAATGAAGGAGCGGTAGCAGCACCTGGTGGGGCGGCACCTGGTGCAGAGACCCCCGCCGCTGCTGGCACTGAATAGCCGCACCCAGTGGGGGCGAGGAGGCCGGCCCTGAGGGCGTGGCTGCTCGCAGCATGATGACAGAGGACGATCTGCTCTCCCCGCTGGCAGGGAGATGAGGGTGCTGGTGTGCGGAGGAGCCTGAAGAAAGAAAAGTAGGGCAAGGAGGGAGGGAAGGGGAGGATGGGGAGTACCGGTACCATACAAGAAGGGAAAGAAGGACCGAGAAGGAAGAATGAAAGCGGGGAAGCAGCAGCTGTTAGGGGATCTGGTTCCATGGGCGTAGAGGGTGGTACGGGTTCGGGTTTTGCAAGGTTTCTTCATAAGTAGGAAGTGGGGGAGAGGGGGGGGGGGGGGGGGGGGGGGGGGGGGGTGTTGGAGGTGACTACGTAGATGTTGAGTTTGCACGTTGCTTTGGTTTCTTAGGTTTGTGGCTGAGATGCCTTTGTATGTGCTGATTGAGTTTTAAATTATCAATGCTCTTGGCTTGGCAACGAAGCAGCATCAACTTTCTTGAGATGGCGAGGGCTGGCAGCAACAGGCGGCCTCGAGACCTCTCCCAACTAAAGCTATTAGGGTATATTTGGGAGAATTATTACAGTACATCTTTAGCCTATTGGCCAACAAAACATGGCTGACAGAACAACAGGTAGCGACACCAGAATCAAATTATGCTTGCATCCATTGAATTGCCATCTGTAGCATCCTGCATTGCTGCGATGAATTTGCAATTGATGTTTTTAGAAGGTGTATATCCTGAAGCGTCTTCTCTTCAACACACCACTGCCATGCAGGCACTAGTCTGGGTCGTATGGCGTCCGCTATTGGCTGGCAGGATGTACCACATGTGGGCAGAGGGAGGAAAGCGTGATGGTGGATGATGAGTGGGTGGCTGGGGAAGAAGGGGGCTACAGGAGATGCTGAGTGGCGAATAGCAACCGGACGGGGAATGGGGAAGGGATAAGGCGAGAACCGGGGAAGGAGAAGCGAGGAGGGACAAAAGGTTGGTCAGATGGAGCAGGTATCACATGCAGCCCCTATCCAGCACACCCACCTGCCCATTCAACACTCACCCCTACGGACGCATCTGGAATCAGCTTGTCTCGGTCGTGCTCTGGCCATGGGTTGAAGTCAACAGCTCTCAAGCCCCAGTAGTGGTTCATACGCAGCAACGACGGGTCTGCAACCACCGTCACCCTCCCTCGCCTGGCCCCCATTACACCACCTGCTCCACGCTCCCCATCCCCACCTCCCTCTCCCTCCCCACTACCCTCCCCGCCCCCCATTCCCCATTCCCCGCCCTCGTCCCATCCTCCTCCACCCTCCGCCTTTCCACCTAAAGCCACCTCCCCCACTTCCCCCCCAATAGCCTCGCCCTTCATCCAGAACTTGTGCGGGTTGCCGCCAAAGTTTCCTTGCACCTGGGCCACGCGCACAATGGCCTTGGTGCGCGCTACTGGCCCCTCCGTGTGCGCGCTCCTCTGTGTGTACGCGTCCACTAGGAGGCACGGTGGCGCGCATGTGGGCGCGCCCTGGAAAAAGAGATTCTGCACGAGGACCTGGCGAGGGGGAGAGATGGTTGGGCAGTGGGGGGAGGGAGGGGTGGGGAGAATATGGTTGTATGGGGGAGATGTGGTGGGAGAAGGGTGAGGAGTAGGTTGGTTGGGGAACAAGTTCACGTGGATGTGATGGGGTGGAGAAATGGAACCGACAATAACGAGGATGGAAGGAGGAGGAGGAGGAGGAGGAGGAGGAGGAGGAGGAGGAGGAGGAGGAGGAGGAGGAGGAGGAGGAGGAGGAGGAGGAGGAGGAGGAGGAGGAGGAGGAGGAGGAGGAGGAGGAGGAGGCGGAAGAGGGCACGCTGTGACATGCATCACAATGTATGTGAACCCATCTCCATCCCACAACATTCCTCTCAACCCCACCTGTGCCGTGGCATTACTAGCGGGCTGCACGTGGCGTGTGAGGAAGCGGAGGAGAAAGCCAGGGAGGGTGTCAGAGGGGCTGAACATGTACTCGTCTATGTCGCACAGCACCGCCCACCGCACCCGCGTGCCGTACGTCTGCAGGGGGGGATGCAGAAGGGGGGCCCGGCAGGAGGGAGAGGGAGGCCGCAAGAAGCATACCCAACTACAGGAGAGGTTTTGGAAGATGGAACAGGATAGGCATGAGTGATATAAGCATACCCAACTACAGGAGAGGTTTTGGAAGATGGAACAGGATAGGCATGAGTGATATAAGCATACCCAACTACAAAATCCATGGCTCGTTCGGTGACACGAGGGTGCTGTGTACGGGCTCGCGCCTTGGGCAAGACTGACACTGGAGGAGGGTTGTGGATGGGCGTCTTGGGAAGGACAAACCTTCACCACCCTCTCAACACATTTTCAGCATCCGGCCCGTTAGTTCACATGCCCAACAGTTCCTTTCACCTGCCCGTCACAGCCAGGCAGACAGATGGGCAGCAGCACAGCACCTTGAGGAAGTGCGAGACAGAGGAGTCCTGCTCGTAGTGAATGTCATGCCACTCGGGGAAGAGGCGGTAGAAGCGGTGGTATGTCAGCACGCCCGCCCCCACATACGCTGCCAGAGCCGCCTCCTGATGGCCAGGGACGGGGAGACGTGCAGCAGGGGAAGTGGAAAAGTGGAGGGGAAAGGGAAAGGAGACGGAGGGGGAGTGGGAAAGGTGAATAAATCTGGAAGGAAAGGTGATGTATGCATGGCTGCGGTGGGCACAAGAAGTTGTGAGATGCCTTCAAATGCGAGTGTTCACTCACCTCGCCGCCGTTCATCCCCCCTCCATCCCCGTTACCACAACTTTGCGTTATTCGCCCATCCACTATTCGCGCCATGGCAATCACGACGTACCAAACGAGAGAGGCAAAGACGCCTCAAGGTCACGGATTGCGATATGCCTCTCTCCCTCTCTGTCATGACGCCTCCCTCCGTCTGTGTGCCTCAGCCGCCACTCATCCAGGCTCCACACATGGCCTCACACAAGTCACAGAGATAGCATGGCCCCCTTGCAGCACAGTGTACCATAAACTCCACACACCTACCCCATGCTCCCACTCCCTCACACTCACCCCCCAAACCCATGCAACCAACCCCACAAGTTCACTCTCGCACACCCACCACACTCTCCCACCCCACGCACCCATCCCCACACTCTCACTCTCGCACACCCAACCCCACTCACTCACCCTCACACTCAAACTCCACACCCCACGCATGGTATGAGTGAGACACACACCTGGCTCTCTTCCTGGGAGTGTGCAGTGTCGTACCAGAACACATGCTGCACCCCCGCATACCGCCCATACTCCAACCACTGCTCGCACGGGGCGTCGCGTATGGAAGACCGAAGGGGCAGGGAGAAAGGGTGAGGGGATGAGGGTGGAGGGAGGGATGTGGCAGTGAGGGGTGGCAGGAGGAGGAATGCGTTTGGGATGCATTGCACTGTGATGGCAGTGCAAGGGCAAGAGAAACGTGAATAAAAGGGGAATGAGAGAAACAAGGGCAGGAGAAGGTGCAGGAGAAACAAAAGCAAGAGCAAGTGGAAGAGCAGCAAGAACAAGGGGAAGCAAGTGCAAAAAAAGATAACGAAAGAAAGGGAAAATCACAAAGAAGAAGTGCAAGAGCAAGAAGAGCAAGAGGAACGTGTACCACAACCCACCTGCCAGATTTCATAAGCAGTGAAGTTGAACCGGTCCTCTCCATACACCCTCGCATACGCCATCGCTGCAAGGAAAATCACACTGCTGCCACCTTCCCCTGCTGCACCTGCTGCTGGCTCTAATGCGCCTGCTGTAGCTGCTGCTGCTGGCTCTGCTGCTGCTGCAGATACATCGATGCTGGTGCTAGAGATACCAGTGGTGCCGGCAGAGGCGGGGTTATCAGAAGTGGCTGCTTCCAGGGGGGTGCTGCTGTATGGCTGCAGCACAGTTGCAAAGATGGCTGAGAGATTTGTCCTGCCACAGGGTCACATGCACAAGGGAGGAACGGCACAGCACAGGTGCGGGATACAGGATGCCTTAGCTCAACATTTACCACAGAACATGGACAGTGGTGGTCATTCGTGGATGTGGCGGGCAGGCAGAGAGCGGTCCAGAGAGAGCACAGCTCTGGAGATATAGAGAGGAAAGAATCACGGGGCTGCTTGAGCAAGGGAAGCACCCCACGAGCTACCAACATAGTAAGCAAAGCTTCCGTCGGTTGTCAGGTTTATATGCCATGGTCTATCTAGGCTGTAGCGGGGTAGATACAATAGGGTACAACATTTCTAGGTTTTCTACTTGTACCCACATCTCACCTAGTCAATTCATTCCTCGTTCTTTCACATGGTATAGAGCAGGTTCCCTAGTGGGAACGTTTCCTAGGGCCCACCACGGAAAATCGAAAAAAAAAAAATTCCTGCCCGGAGCGCGCTTCGCTCCTGCCCGAGTCGCGCCCCGTGTGCCTGCCCTCCCGTCGCGTCCCTTGCCCTTAGCGGCCCGTCGCGCCCTCTCACGGCCCCTCGTGGCCCCTCTCACGGCCCTTCGCGGCCCCTTCGCGGCTCCCTCGCGGCCCCTCCGCCGCCCTTCGCGGCCCCTCTCACGGCCCTTCGCGGCCCCTTGCGGCCCCTCGCGGCCCCTTCGCGGCCCCTCGCGGCCCCTTCACGGCCCCGTCGCCGCCCTTCGCGGCCCCTCGCAGCCCCTTCTCGGCCCCGTCGCCGCCCTTAGCGGCCCCTCGCGGCCCCTTCTCGGCCCCGTCGCCGCCCTTCGCGGCCCCTCACGGCCCCTTCTCGGCCCCGTCGCCGCCCTTCGCGGCCCCTCACGGCCCCTTCTCGGCCCCGTCGCCGCCCTTCGCGGCCCCTTCACGGCCCTTCGTGGCCCCGTCGCCGCCCTTAGCGGCCCCCTTCTCGCCTCCTCCGCGGCCCCTTCTCGGCTCCTTCACGGCCCTGCCGCCCCGCCGTCGCCGCCCCAGCAGCAGCAGCCGTCGCGCCGTCACAGCCGCCGCCACCACTGCCGGGGCCGCCGCCGCCGCCGCTGCCGACAGCAGGAGCCGCCGCCGCCGCTGCCGTGACAGCCACCGCCGCCGCTGCCGGGACAGCAGCAGCCGCCGCTGCCGCCGACAGCAGCAGCCGCCGCCGCCGCTGCCGAGGCCGCGGCCGCCGTCGCCACCGCCAGGAGCAACCGCCGCCGCCGCAGCCGTGACAGTCGCCGCCGCCGCTGCCGGGGCCGCAGCCGCCGCCGCCGCCGCTGCCGGGGCCGCAGCCGCCGCCGCCGCCGCTGCCGGGGCCGCAGCCGCCGCCGCCGCCGACAGCAGGAGCCGCCGCCACTGTCGCGGCCCTGTCCCTGCCGGCGCGCCTCGACCCTGCCCCACCACTTGCGGAACTCTACCCACCCGCCCTGGTAAGAGCACCGCCGAGCCGCGCCTCTGCTACTGAGCTGCTCCTAGCCTGCTGCTACTGCTCCTAGCCTGCTGCTGCTGCTGTCATGGCTACCCCTAGCGTTCTCGCATTTGATGCTGAGGGTCAGGCTGTCGACTTTGAGGTCTGGGTCGATGATCTGCAGCTTTTCCTACAGTGCGATAGGAAAGACGGTCTGTCACTGTTCGATCTAACGTCTGGCGCCTCTACTGCCCCTGCTGCCGATGCTGACAGCAATGTTCGCTCACAGTGGGCCACACGCAATGCTGTTGCTCGTCTTGCTGTGCGTAGTCACTTGCCGTCCACTGAGCGCGCGCACTTTAGTCAGTACAAGAGTGCTAAGACCTTGTACGACGCTGTAGTTGCACGCTACTCTTCCCCTGCCACTGCTGCCCTTAGCCGCCTCATGCTACCGTACCTGTTCCCTGACCTCGCCGCCTTTCCCACAGTCGCTGACCTCATTACGCACCTTCGCACTAGTGACACCCGCTACCGCGCTGCGCTTCCTGCTGAGTTCTGCGCCAAGAACCCCCCCCCCATGTACATCACCCTCTACTACATAGTCACCCGGCTCCCTGACTCCTTTCGCTCGGTCAGGGACCACTTCCTCTCAGTTTGCCCCACCACACTCACCGTTGACCTCCTCGAGGAGCGCCTCCTGGCAGCTGAGAAGAGTATAGTCGCTGTAGGAGCCTCTCGTGGTGACCCTCGTGCCCCCTTCTTTGAGGGGTGCTCCCCCTCCCCCCTTTTGCCCTCTGTTGCCTCTGCTGCTGCCGTCGACTTCGTTGGCACCGAGTCGGTCGGCGTTGCGTCTGCCCCTAGCGGGAGACGCCGCACCGGCAAGGGCAAGGGGGGCAAGGGCGCTGGAGGAGCTGGCGGGGGCGGTGGAGGTGGCGGTGAAGGCGGCTTATGGGGTGGGGGTGGCGGTGGGAGTGGTGGCGGGGGTGGGGGCTTCGGTGGCGGCGGTGGAGGCGGAGGTGGTGGCGGCGGTGGTGGTGGGAGCGGAGGAGGCGGAGGAGGAGGTGGCGGCGGTGGTGGCGGAGGTGGAGGCGGCGGCGGTGGAGCTGGTCGGGGTGGCTCTGCGCAGCGGGGCGGCTTCGGTGGTGGTCAGCGCCAGCAGCAGCAGCGCACTCGTGAGACCCCGCCCCCCCAGCAGCTTCGTGAGTGGTACGCTGCGCGTCAGCGGGGTGGGGGTGCTGGTCCCTGTGCCTACGTCCTGCGTACCGGCGACCGCACTGGTGAGCCGTGCGGTGGCCCGCACACCACCCAGCGCTGCTTCGGCCGCCTGACGGACGCTTGGCGTCTCCAGTTCCCTGACGCCACTGAGATCCCCCGCTGGGGCGAGCTGCTTAGGTCGGGGGTTGCTATCTTTGATCTGGACTATGATGCTATTCTTGCTGCCATGTATGTTGTGTCTACTAGTGATGAGGGTGACTGTTACCTGTGTGTTCCGCCTGACCCGGGCATTGAGGCTGCTCCTCTAGGTGCTGGTGAGGCTGCTGCTCTCGGTGCTAGTGCGTCTGCTGCTCCAGGTGCTGGTGAGTCTGCTCTCTCAGGTACCACCTCGACTCAGGCCTTACACACCTTCATCCTTGACTCGGGTGCTTCCCGCTCCTTCTTTCGAGACCGCACCACACTCACGCCGCTTAGTCGGCCAGTTGCGGTCTCCCTGGCGGACCCCTCTGGGGGTCCTGTACTTACCCACTTCTCCACTGTCTTACCGTGTCCGGCGGCCCTTTCTGGCACCCTGTCAGGTCTTTACCTCCCCTCGTTCTCTACGAACTTGGTGAGTGGTGCTGACCTGCAGGATGGGGGGGTTGACCAGTTCACTCCTGCGAGTCAGCGGGTGACCCACTGTACGTGTGCTCGGACGGGCCGACACTTGGCCACGTTTACCCGTCAGCCGGGGTCGAGCCTGTACACGCTGGCTACTGAGTCTCCTCCGGTTGCTGAGTCTGGTCAGGTAGCTGCGTCGGGTCAGGTGTTTGCTGCAGCCTCCATTTCTGGTCCTGAGTCTGCCCCCTGCTCGTGTCGTCTCCTGTCCCACCGGACCCTCCTCTGGCACCACCGCCTTGGTCACCCCTCCCTGCCTCGTCTCCGAGGCATGGCTTCCCGTTACCTTGTCTCTGGTCTCCCCCGGTCCCTCCCTCCCCTCCCTCCAGGGCCTGCCCCTACCTGCGTTCCCTGCGTCGAGGGGCGGCAGCGCGCCGCTCCTCACTCCTCCGAGTTTCCTCCGACAGAGGCTCCGCAACAGACACTTCATCTGGACGTGTGGGGCCCCGCCCGCGTCCGTGGCCAGGGTCAGGAGCGTTACTTCCTGTTGGTGGTTGACGACTACTCGCGTTACACCACGTTCTTCCCCTTGCGCAGCAAGGGTGAGGTCACTGAGGTGTTGATCGACTGGATCCGCGCAGCTCGTCTCCAGCTCAAAGAGAGTTTCGGCTCGGACTTTCCTGTTCTGCGTCTGCACTCTGACAGAGGCGGAGAGTTTTCCTCTGCCCTTCTGGGAGCCTTCTGTCGTGCACAGGGCATCCGCCAGACCTTCACGCTTCCGGCCTCTCCACAGCAAAATGGGATTGCTGAGCGCCGCATTGGCATGGTCATGGACGTCGTTCGTACGTCCATGATCCATGCGGCTGCTCCCCATTTTCTGTGGCCGTTCGCGGTTCAGTACGCAGCGCATCAGATCAACCTTCAGCCGCGGGTCTCCTTGCCGGAGACCTCCCCTACTCTGCGGTGGACGGGGAAGGTTGGCGATGCGTCTGCATTTCGTGTCTGGGGATCTCGGGCGTTTGTCCGCGACTTGTCTGCGGACAAGCTGTCCCCCCGTGCTGTTCCCTGCGTCTTCCTTGGCTTCCCCCCTGACGCGCCTGGTTGGCAGTTTTACCACCCCACCTCGCGCCGTGTTCTGTCCTCCCAGGACGTCACGTTTGACGAGTCGGTTCCTTACTACCGTCTCTTCCCCTACCGCACTGCGCCCCTTCCCCCGCCGCCGCTCTTCCTCGCGCCAGGTCCCCCCCCGGTAGACCCTCTCCCCCCTCAGAATCCTGCCCCCTCAGGTGTGTCCCAGGTAGACGCAGTCGAGCTTGTCGAGGTAGCTGTTGACTCTGGTGCTGCTAGGGGTGCTGAGCCGGCGGGTGCGGGGTCTGGAGGTGCTGAGCCTGGGGGTGCTAAGTCTGGGGGTGCTGAGCCTGGGGGTGCTGAGCCTGGGGGTGCTGAGCCTGGGGGTGCTGAGCCTGGGGGTGCTGAGACTGGGGGTGCGGAGCCTGGGGGTGCTGGGCCTACTCGTGTGGCGTCTGGCGGTCCTGGGTCTGGAGGTCCTTTGGGTGCTTCGTCCCGGCGGGAGCTCCCCTCTCCACAGGAGCTGCGCGAGTGGTTTGCTCGGCGCTGGAGCCGTGCTGCTGGAGCTGGAGGTGCTGCCGGAGCTGGAGGTTCTACTGCTGCTGAGGGTGCTCCTTGTACTGGAGCTGCTGGCGGTGCTGGAGCTGGCGGTGCTGCTGGGGTAAGTGCTGCTGGAGCTGCTGGAGCTGGAGCTGCTGGGGGTGGTGGTGCTGACGGTGCTACTGGCGCTGGTGCTTCTGGGGGTGCTGGAGTTGGCGTTGCTGCCGCTAGGGGTGCTACTGGTGCTGGTGCTGCCGCTGGGGGTGCTGGTGCTGTCCCTGCTGGTTCTGGAGGCGCTGCGCGGCCGAGGCCGTACTTCGTTTCGCTCCTTGAGCAGGTTCTTAGTCTCCCGCCGTCTGCTGGTCCTGCCTCTTCCTTCGAGTGTCTGCCGCCTGTCCAGTCCGAGTCACAGTTCCTGCCCGCCTCCCCTCTGCCTGCTCCTTCTCCCTACACTGGTCCTACTGGAGGTCTTGCTGAGCGTCGTGAGCCTGCGTCTCGTCCTGCGTCGCCTGTTCGTGCTGCTCGCACTAGTAGTCGTGCTCCGCGTCCGCATCCTCCTGCGGTCCCAGGCACACACCAGATGGCACTGCGTCCTTCCACCGCTCCTCTTCGTGTCCCGTTGCCGTCTCCTTAAGAGTCCTCTCTTCCTGTTCTTGCTGACCCGGAGTCTGACTCTCTTCGTGCTGCCAGTCCTACTGTCACGCGTCTCCTGGCTACTGTTGTCACTGACCCTTCCTTTGAGTCCACTGCTGCGTCTGCCTTAGTTGCTGAGCTTGTCGACTTTGCTGCTCGCTGTCGTCTCGACTACGCCGCTAGTCTCGTTGCTGAGTCTGAGTCTGTCTGTCCTCCGTCCGTCGGGGGTGAGTGTGCTCTTAGCACGGACGTCCTTGAGGACAGGCAGGAGGAGTTCCAGTGTTTTGCTGCTGCTTTGCCTCATCTCGTGTCCATGCTGATTGCCCCTGAGGGAGACCCGGATGCACCAGACATCCCGACTCCGCGCTCTTATGCGGAGGCGATAGAGGGTCCCTACTCCTCTCAGTGGGAGTCATCCATGAACGCAGAGATGGCTTCCTGGAAGTCCACAGGCACCTACGTCGACGAGGTTCCCCCACCTGGGGCGAACATCGTCAGTGGCATGCGGATTTTCAGGGTGAAGCGGCCGCCGGGTTCTCCGCCTGTCTTCAAGGCGCGTTACGTGGCTCGAGGCTGCCGCCCACCTGGCTTCATTGGGTCGTTTCCTCCTGGTACCCAGTGGAGCCTCCGGTGGCCAGTCTACGGTCTCCGCCAGGCGCCCCGTGAGTGGCACGACACACTGAAGACTACACTTGCGGCTCTTGGGTTTGCTCCTTTTACTGCCGACCCGTCGCTGTTTCTACGCACCAACACCTCTTTGCCGCCGTTCTACATCCTCGTGTACGTGGACGACTTGGTCTTTGCTACTGCTGACACTGCTGGACTCGCCCACGTGAAGTCCGAGCTGCAGAAGAGACACACGTGCACAGACCTGGGTGAACTGCGCAGCTACCTTGGCTTGCAAATCACCCGGGACAGAGCACAGCGCACCATTACCCTGACTCAGTCACACATGGTGCAGCAGGTCCTTCAGCGCTTCGACTTCACGTACTCCTCGCCTCAGGCCACTCCTCTGTCTACTCGCCACTCGCTCTCAGCTCTGCCTTCGGATGAGTCCGTAGAGCCGAGTGGCCCGTACCCAGAGCTTGTTGGCTGCCTCATGTACCTGATGACCTGCACTCGACCTGACCTTGCATACCCTCTTAGCATCTTGGCACGCTATGTTGCTCCTGGGAGACACCGACCAGAGCACATGGCTGCAGCGAAGAGGGTGTTGCGCTACTTGTGCAGTACGTCGGGCATGGGGCTAGTGCTTGGAGGGCGGCGTTCAGTGGTCCTCACAGGTCACGCAGACGCTTCTTGGGCTGACGACCAGGCTACGCAGCGGTCGTCACAGGGTTACACCTTCAGCCTTGGTTCCGGCTCTGTTTCGTGGCGGTCTACCCGCTCGTCCTCTGTTCTCGGCTCCAGCTGTGAGGCCGAGATCTACGCAGGGGCCATGGCTGCACAGGAGCTACGCTGGCTCACCTACCTGCTGACTGACCTAGGAGAGCCGCCTCGTTCTCCTCCAGTTCTGTACGTAGACAACAAGGCCATGCTGGCCTTGTGTCGGGAGCACAGACTGGAGCACAGAACGAAGCACATTGCTCTTCGCTACTTCCTTGCTCGTGAGCTGCAGCAGCGTGGTCAGCTGCGTCTTGCTTACGTGGCCTCTGAGGCCAACACTGCTGATATCTTTACCAAGGCACTTCAGCCTTGTGATCATCAGCGCTTTTGTACGATGCCAGGTCTTGTACCTACTTTGCCTCACTTGCTCACTTCTTGACCTTGCTTGTACTGTGATCTATCTATACCTGCACTTGCTTGTTTACCTTTATATATAATCTTGCATGTGAACTAGCCTTGTGGCCTTGACCTTGTGCTCGGAATGTGTGGTGACGTTGTGATCCACCCTGAGCTTGCTGTGCTTTGCTTGACTGGTCTTGTGACCTCTTGTTCTCCCCCACTTTGCCTATGGGGGTGTGTCAGGTTTATATGACATGGTCTATCTAGGCTGTAGTGGGGTAGATACTATAGGGTACAACATTTCTAGGTTTTCTACTTGTACCCACATCTCACCTAGTCAATTCATTCCTCGTTCTTTCACATCGGTTGCTCTGCGGATGCTTCCGGCGTCCACAGAGGCACAAGGAGTCCGGGCGCAAGAAAGTGCCTGTACTGCTTGCACAGAACGCCTGCCAGGGTGTCCGTCCACAACGCCCTGCTTTCCCACGTGAGCAGCACCCCCCGCCCTGCGCCGCACTTACCAGAATACCGCAATGGAGACTCTGAAAATATGCTGCCAGCACACACTGAGGGGTGTGGCTTTGCGGATATTTGAGACGTCTCAAACCTCAGTGCGGGAGGTGCCCCACAAAGGGAGGAGCGTGAGAGCTGCAGTCGCACTCGTCAGTGTCGGCAGGAGGAGGCAGCGGGCCACAAACTGCCACACAGGAACCTTAACACCTCCTGCACCCCAGCACCCCAGCACCCCAGCACCCCAGCACCCCAGCACCAGGACGGGCAGCAGCTTGCGGAGTTCCAGAGATACTCGCCCAGCACTCAGCACCCCTGGGGACATCCGCGCTCCTTCAACCTGCAAGGACGTGCATGGCAGTGCTGCTTACACAGGTGCACGGCAGGAAAATCTCCACCACTGTTGCCAGCCTTGGCACACTCAGCGAGCATGTAACCATCCTCCTCCCCACCTAACAGTCTCCGCGCAAGCTCTCCAAAGCAGTCCAGGCAGGGCGGTTGGTCCAATCAACATAGAGAGGCTGCAATGCAACCCTGCCAGTGAGCCTGCCTGCCACACTCCTCGCATAGCCCATGAGCTATCAGCTCACTTGGAGAAATCCGCCTTCCCTGGTAGTGTCTCTGTCCTCCCCCCCTTCCTCCCCCCAACCGTTACAGCCAACCGCCACCTTCCCCCATCATCAGCGCGAAACCGAACACCACAAGCACCTTCGCACCAACCCCCGTGCATCTCACATCCTCCCTTTCTATTGCCCCGTTCATTTTCCCCTTGGCCAGCGCTCACCTCTTCTCCGCCACCCTTTCAGCGTGGTTGAGCTGCTGCTGCATGCGCTGCACAAGAGCCTGCACTCGCTGCACTGCTCCGTGCACCACCGCTGCTGCTACACGCGCTGCCTGCATGTGCACTCGTGGGAACACTGCCCTTGCTAAAGCCTGAAAGGTGGAGGCAACGGAGAGGGGGGAGTGGGGGGGAGAGGAAAGGGGGAGAGGAGGGGTTGAGGAGAGGGGGGTGGAGTGGGCGGAAAGAGGAGGGACAAAAGGAGAGGGACAGGGAAAACTGCCTGGGGTATATTTTGGGAAGACAGAATGAAAGGGGGGGAAGAGCAGACAGGCGGAAGTGGGGGATTGGTGGGGAGTGAGGGGGTTGGGGGGGGGAGTGTTGGTTCAAGAGGAGTGAATGAGGGGATAGGACGTTGAGAAGCGAAGAGGAGGTTTGTTTTGTTGGGAGTGGTATGTGCCACTGCACATGCTCATTGGCTCATGCATGCATGCACCATAACTGCTAGTGCTTGTGCCGCTTGCCATGCTTGTCTGGGAGTGATTACAATGCTACAAAGGGGCCACAAAAGAGAGAGCATGACACAGCACTTGAGTAACACGCACCCCCTCTCCTTCCCTTCCCACCCTCCACCCGTCCCCCATTTCCCATCCGCCCTTGCGCCTCTCAGGTGCACGACCTTGAACTCCAGGAGCCCACTGTGTGGGTCGGTACCGTCCATCCAACCACCGCGGCACACACCACCTGCTGCCTCCACCGCTGCTTCCATCTCCTGCTCCCTGTTCATGCTGCCACTGCTGCCTCTGCCGCCACTGCTGCTACTGCCAGAGCTATGGGGTGACAGTAGCACTGCAACCAGTCCCTGTGCCTCAGCCTGCTGCTGCTGGGTTGACTTGCCAGCTGGTTCTGATGGCGACGAGAAAAGCAGGTGAGCGAGAGCAGATTTGTTCCCAGCACCACCAGCCGCAGCCGCAGCAGCAGCATCAGCATCAGCACTGTCACGATCATCATAATCATCGTGGTGACGACGGTGATGCAAGCCACGTTTTGGTGTCAATTCACGCACAGCGGCTGCTCGCACTGCCATCACCAGCACTGTTGCTGGCTGGCCCTCCTCTTCCCCTTCAAACCCACTCGTTCCTCCCCCCATCCCACCATCTACCCCTCCATCTAAGCCTTCCCCTTCTCCCCTGCCTGCTTCACTGGCGCCCATGGGAGCAAGAGAGGCCAAGGGGCGGAAGCAATGCTGCACAGCCATGGAAGGGTTGCTGTGAGCAGCATCGTTGCCAGTCAACATGCCAGCTTTAGTGGCAGCAGCAGCAGAAGCAGCAGATTCTAATAGAGTCCATTGTGGTTCGTTACTTGACTCCCCGCCTTCCAGTTCATGCCCCTGAGTGTGAATCCTGTCCGCCCCTCCTCCATCCTCATCGCCCGAGCTCCCGTCGTCTTGCTCATCGGGGTCCAGAAGCACATCGGTGACAGGCCCGTGGGAGAAGAGCGAGCGCGGCGAGAAGGTGAAGGGGATGAGCAGCGGCCGGGACGAGAGGTATGACAGGGACGGGCGCACCTGAGAAAGGGCCGAGGAGGTTGGGGGGGGGATGGTGCAGGGCAAGTGGGGAGAGCCGGAGGGCGAGAGAAGGGAGAAAAAGGGTGGGTTGCTGAGAGGCAGGGGGGAAGAAGAGGGAAAGCGGGGGAAACAGAGGGGGGGATCACTTGTTTGAAAGTGAAATGGCATGTGCATCTACTGGAGAAAACAACAGTGAAAGAGAGACGGTGGACACTGGGTTAACAAGGGTTTACTTGTCATGTATACCGGCCCATTCCCATCCCATGCTATGGCACCCCACCCCATCCCACTGCCGTACACACTACCCTGACCTGCAGTCCCCAAACCCACTTGCACATAAAGCCACATCTCATCCTCATCCTATCCCCATCCCGTCCTCATGCCATCCCATTTCACTCTCTGCCTTTCCAGCACCCAGTCCCACCTGCAGCACATGCGCTGGTTGCTGCGCCAGGAAACGGGAGAGGGAGCCGGGGTGAGGGTGGGAGGGCTGGGAGAAAAAGGCGCGTGGCGATTCAGCAATCAGCAGCCATTCTGCGGAGGTCTGACGGGCGGGTGGAGGGAGGGAGGGGTGCAAGTGAGGTGGTAGGGAGGAAGGAGGTAGATGTGAGAAGTATGGCCACTAGTGGGAGTCTTCCCATTGAGCTCTGCACACATTGCACTAAGGCAATGGACTGAAGCACCCGAGGGTCAACTGAATCACCCATCCATCCATCCACCCAACAAATGATTGAACCACCCACTTGACTTCACGACCGACGGCCCACCCACTGAAGCTCCCACCTCTGCCTTCTCCTCATCTCACCCACTTGCATGTTTCTTTAACACCCTTTTCATTGCAAAGCAGCACCCTCACATTAAAATTAGGCTCATGCAAACAGCCCTGTGCTCTCCCACGTTCTCTGGGCGCCCACCCAGCAAGCCCAGCAACGGCAGCTCAGCAGAGCAGGCTGACCTGGTGAGCTGCCATGGCGACCACGCGCTCCACCACGTGCGCCCTCGTGCTGCCCACGCCCATCACCTCGCGATGAAACCCCACTCGCCCCTCCCCCTCGTACGCTCTCACCAGTGCCTGCTTCTGATGGGGGAAAGGGGGGGGGTTAGAGGGGGTTGGAGAAACAAGGGGGAGGACGGGTTAGGGATGATTGGGGGGGCAGCAGAGGTGACGAAGACTGGGGGCATTCATAGAAGCATGCGCGTTCCCATGCATGCATGCATGCATGTACGCTGACATTTCCTCCAAAGAAACCCCTCCGCATTATCCAACCCTCAACTCAACAGCGGTATGCCAACTCACAGCACCGCACTCCTAGTGCATGGCAGTGGCAGGCAGTGGCGAGGCAGATGCATGCTGGTGCGATTGCAGCGCATGGGGAATACCTAACCAGCCGCGCCTAAGACACACTCGTGCAAGAGCACCGCACTGTGAGTTTCGCCCCCCCTTACCCCCCTCTCCCACTCACTCCCCCCACCTGCATGCATCCCTCTCCTCCCCTCCTCCGTGGGCACACACACGTGCAGGGCAGGGCAGGGCAGGGCAGGGCAGGGCAGGGCAGGGCGCTGTGAGTGACCTGCGCGTGCATGTGGGCGAGGGCGTCCCTGGTGGGATGGTCGGGGTCCACGTGCTCCCAGGACAGCACGTCCGCCCACAGCACCGCCTGCACGCCCGCTTGCACCCAGTACTCCACCCACTGCCCCCACCACGGTGCGTGCGCGGGGAGGAAGGCGGCGGTGTGGGGAGGGGAAAGGAGGTGGGGGGGTGGTGGAAGGGAGAAAATGGAATGTGGTGGAGGAAGGGGGCATGAGGCGAGAGAGATGGGATGAGTGGGGATGGGATGCAGCGGCAATCAAGCTGTGCGAGCCCCGCCTTGACCAGCCCTGTGAGACGCAGTCAGCTCGGGCAGGAGGGAGGGGGCAGGTTGCAAGAACAAGAGAGTGGAGAAAGTGCACATTGGTGCTGGCTGGCGGTGAGGAGGGAGGGGTGCGCGCGGAGCACTGGCAGCTGTGTGTCATCTCTGGTAGGGGACAATGGCGGGGTGGTGCGGGGGAAAGGAGAGGAGGTGCGGTGCAGAGTTGGGTGGGGAGGGAGGGGCTTATACCTGATGCATGGGATGGGATGGGATGGGATGGGATGGGATAGCATAATACCTGCAGGCACTGCAGCAGCTCCAGGCTCATGTGCACATCCACTTCACCGCTGTTGCTCTCACCTCCACCACTCCCTCCCTCGCTACTACTGCCACTGCCCCCCCTGCTGCTGCCACTGCCACTGCTTTCCGAGCTGCTGGCTTCCTCCCCTCTGCCCCCCCGAGGTGCTTGTTGCTCCGAGGGGCGTTGCCATGCGAGCCATGAGGAGGAGAAGGTGAACAGAATGGCTTGCACAGATGCCCTGCACCGCATGAGCATGGCGTCGTGTGGCGTGGAGTGGCGAGGCGTGGCGTGGCGTGGTAGGGTAAGGTATGTATGGCATGGCATGGCATGGCATGGCATGGCATGGCAGGGAAGGACTAGATGCATGTGGCGAGGCAGGAGGAAGAGTGTGCACGTGATACAAGAGAGAGCAGGGTAGGATGGGGATGGGAGGGAGAGGAGGAGCGAGGATGAGATGACGAGAGGGGCTGGGGAAAGACAAAGGAGAAAGTGAAAGAAAGCGGAGGGAGAGGGAAGTTAGGGACGGAGGGCTGAGATGGGGCAGCAAGTTGGAAGGTGAGAGAGGGCATGTGAGCAAGACCTTGGTGTGCCATCTTCCATCTCGCTCTCGTCCCTGCCACCACCAGCAGCAACAGCAGCAGCAGCACCTCCACCACTGCCAGCACCAAATCCTCTTCCCCAATACTCCCCTCCCCCATTCCGCTCCACAACCCCAAAACCCCCTCCCCTTGCTCCTCCTCCTGCTGACTCCGTTGCTGCTTCCGCCACTGCTACTGCTGCATGTGGTTGTGAGGGGAAAGTTCCACCCGCCCACGGAGACCAGCGCCAGGGCCACGTGGCATAGGGCAGCGAGGAGCTGCGATCAACGGAGTCAAACGAGTCAACTGGGTCGCGCTGCTGTGCCTGCACAGGGAGCACTAGGCACACGGGGCGGCAGAGGGCGGGACGGAGAGCAGCGTTGGGGTTAGAGTGGACGCTGGCGTAGGGCTAGGCACAGCATTGGCCCCCGGCTTCAAGCATTGCTACTGTGTGTATGGGGTAAGGAGTCAGCAGGGAAGGGCGGGGGGGAGGGTATGGGGAGAGCCATGTATGAGTGAGTGCATGTGTGAGTGGGTTGGGAAGGGAGGGGATGGGATGAGCTTGAAGCGTTGGTGAGTAACATTACTTCCGCTCGTGTATGAAGGATCTTCGTTTGGATGGAGCAGTTGTACTGCGAGTGGCTCGACCGGCTCTGCACATCTCGGTGGTGCGGTTCAGAGCGGTGCCTCTCCCACGGCCAGGCATTGGAACAACCTCGCTCGCAGGAATAAGCGGCGGTTGGCAGAAATGACAAGGCTTGTGAAAATCCGCACTGTGAGAGGAGCGTGTACGCACGGGGTGGAGCAGCGTGGTTTGGAGGGCGAGGACGAGCGACGCGACGAGCAGCAGCGCAGCAGTAGCGAGCGCACAGCCCGTGTAGCGCGGCGAGAGGGCGAGTGCGGGGAGAGCGCGAAGGGATGCGGGAAGGATGGACGAGACGACAGCTTCCGAAAAAGGCGCCTCGCCACCGATCCCACCGATCCCACCGATCCCACCAATCCCGGCCATTCCAGCGACGCCTGTGCTCCGCGTTGCAGTGGCCGCCCCCCCGTTCCTCTGGCTGAACCTGCCCATTCTGCTGCTGCCATCGCGGTCCCCCCCGCCGCCGCCGCCGCCGCTGTGAGTGTTGCTGCTGCCGCTGACAATGCTGATGCCGCGAGTGCCGTGGCCTAAAGTGGCCGTGCTTGTAGCGGGGGAGCGGGAGCCGTCGGAGGAGGCTGGGAAGAAGGAGAGGCCGGGCATGGCGCGGGATAGCTCCGGAGGAATCCGCGCATGATAAGATGAGTGTTAAGGTGCGAGACGACTCAAGATTCACGGGAAGAGGTAGTTGTTGGTGGGCTGTTCGTTTTGACCACAGCGTGCTTGTGGTCAATGGCGTCCGAACTTGAAATCTCGCATTGCAATGGTTTTTTGTGCTGTAGATGAACGACCCAGAGTCCCAGACTCCCCCAGACTGGACTGGAGCTGCTCGCGCGGAAGAGCATACGCGATGCTGCAGTTATCGCGAAACGATTTTCATGGTGTACTATGCTAATCCTCAAATGAATGATCCAAGATATATTGGGCATACATCGTACACACATAGTTCTTGATCATTACCAAACCCTATTTTACACCCTGGGGTACCTACACACAGCCATTCTGATTCACGATAGTTAACAGCCTTTTCATAATTAAAGGGAGGAGAATTTTGTGAGAAACCGAACAAATGACTTGATGCAGACCCTACGATATTAGGAATTTTTCCCTGAAATTCCTGATTTTCAGGGATTTTTTTGTACCTACACTGATTTTTCAGTGTTGAGAATTTTGTGACACTGATTTTTCAGCCTTTATTTCATAAATGACACTGATATTTCAGTCTTTTATCGAAGTGTACACTGAATGCACATTCCGAATCCTTCCTGTCAACTAACATTTTCAGGTTTTTAACGTACGAAAATCTAAGAGATTAATGGTTTAGAGGATCAACTGTCTCAGTGGTTAGTGATTTTCCATCGACGGGTAAGGGCTGTCATGTTTCGACAGTCCTACCCTTGTATACAAGATTTTCATTTGCTTGAAAATTCAGGCTTCGATTTTTAGGAACCCTGAAAATTCAGGGTTTTTGGGTTGCGAAGCAACCTATTACGATCGTTATGTACAATTTTTTTTTCATCCTCTACTCTTAAAAAAAATAAAGGATGAAAAAATATAATGAACAGTAGCTGTAAGTGACTGACTTCTATGTATTTGCCACATCAATTTACCATGTGCCGAACCACATTCCTTCTCTTTCCTAGCTTGTCTTCCTTCTCTTTTAATGTGTTATGAACGCATAACTGTTTATTCAGTGATGCATATGCACGATGATGTTATGCGTAGATGAAGTAATTGCAAAATGCATAATTATAATGCATGTGCTACTGTGGTAGTAAAATGAATGCATAGCATGACGAAAATGCGTAACAGTTAATTGACCCAGACCCTATGCTACCGCATCCCCTGCCTAGCATGGGGGGGAGCTCAATAGCATAGGTCCTGAATCATCCAACTGTCACATGAAACAACACGATCTGTGTGATCTAAAAAAAAGGTCAATTCTATCAAAACCAGTTCGAATGGACACACTCACTGAGTGCGCAAAGAACCTTCTCGGAAATGATAGTTTGATCCCATTTTTTAAAACCTACAGACATGTGTTATTGATGCAATGAAACATGGATGAAAGCACATACGCACACAACACAACACATGCAAATGATCATACACATTCACACATACGCGCACGCACGAAGCCACTTGACGAAGCATATAAACCGCAGATAAAATAAAAACCTAAATCATCAAGACATCATGTATCCTATACCGTAAGTCACAAGCAATATCAGTCTACTTCTCGTATTGAGCTCGACTGCCTGGAGGGCAAGACAAAACTGGGTTGAGGAAGAGAAGGCAAATGGGAAATAACAAGGCATAATGGGAGAAAAAGGAACACAATTTTTTACACACTCATAAGCCGACACCACGCAATAGGTTTGAAACCAACGCAACATTAGCTGAGCTTATCAGTATGCTTTGGAAAAGCGATAGCGTATTTTGGAAGGGAATTAAATAAAAAAACATAAACAAAAGCAACGGTTTCCAATCCTGAATGAAACTAAGTAGACAGATGACAAGAGAAGTAAATTGAAGGGAGAAGAGAAAATAATTTGATGAAGCAAGAGTTTTATTTATATATATAATGACACTATTGAAAGAATGTGTCAGATTTATATGACATAGCTACTGTAGGCTATAGTGGGGTAGCACATATGGGGTACAGTTTTCCTAGGGTTTGCATTTGTACCCAACTTTCCCTTAGTCATTCCATTCCTCGTTTCTTCTCATGGTATCGAGCAGGTTCCCTAGTGGGAACGATTCCTAGGGCCCACCACCACGATTTTTTTTTTTTCCTGCCCGGAGCGCCCTTCGCTCCGGCCCGAGTCGCGCCCGGTGTGCTCTCCCTACCGTCGCGCCCTCGCTAGGCCCCTCACGGCCCCGTCGCGTCGCCCTTAGCGGCCCTCTCACGGCTCGTCGCGCCGCCCCTACGGCCCTTCGTGCCGCCCTTACGGCCCGTCGCGCCCGTCGTGCCGTCCTTACGGCCCCTCGTGCCGCCCCTTACGGCCCCTCGCGCCGTCCCTTACGGCCCCTCGCGCGGCCCCGCCACCTACCTGTGCGGCCCCGCCACCTACCTGTGCGGCCCCGCCACCTACCTGCGGCCCCGCCACCTACCAGCGGCCCCGCCACCTACCCGCGGCCCCGCCACCTACCTGTGCGGCCCCGCCACCTTCCTGCTGGCCCCGCCACCTACCTGCGGCCCCGCCACCTACCAGCGGCCCCGCCACCTACCTGCGGCCCCGCCACCTACCTGCGGCCCCGCCACCTACCAGCGGCCCCGCCACCTACCTGCGGCCCCGCCACCTACCTGCGGCCCCGCCACCTACCAGCGGCCCCGCCACCTACCTGCGGCCCCGCCACCTACTAGCGGCCCCGCCACCTACCTGCGGCCCCGCCACCTAACTTTGCGGCCCCGCCGCCTCCTCTCAGCGGCCCCGCCGCCTCCCCTCAGCGGCCCCGGACGCCGCCCTCTCAGCGGCCCCGCCGAGCCGCCCAGCAGCCGAGCCGCCCAGCAGCCGAGCCGCCCAGAAGCCGAGCCGCCGAGCCGCCCAACAGCCGAGCCGCCGAGCCGCCCAGCAGCCGAGCCGCCGAGCCGCCCAGCAGCCGAGCCGCCGAGCCGCCCAGCAGCCGAGCCGCCGAGCCGCCCTGCAGCCGAACCACCCGAGCCGCCCTGTCCGGTAAGAGCAGCGCCTCTTTCACAGCACTGCCCTCACCCTACTGTTTGCGCTGCTAGTCTACTGCTGTCATGGCTACCCCTAGTGTCCTCGCTTTTGACGCTGAGGGTCGGGCCATTGACTTTGACGTCTGGATAGATGACCTGCAGCTTTTCTTACAGTGCGACAGAGCAGACGGCCTCTCCCTCTTTGACCTCACTTCTGGTGCCTCTCCTGCCCCCGCTGCTGCACGTCTTGCTGTGCGTCGCCACCTGTCTACCTCTGAGCGTGCGCACTTTAGCCAGTATAAGAGTGCTCAGACCTTGTACGACGTTGTAGTTGCGCGCTACTCCTCCCCTGCCACTGCTGCACTGAGCCGCCTCA